TCCCCAGTTCCACCAAAAAAAAAAAAAAAAAAAAAAAAACAGAATCAAGTTGTATCATGTACAGGTACAAATCCCCTGTAATGAATGTGGTTATTATGTGTATCCATATTTTCTAGTTTCTTGCATTTTACAAAGGAAAATCTCAAGTAGGGGGTATAGCCTAGTGGAAGAACCTAGCAAAAATCTCATTTCTTTGAACATGTTAAAGTTATTTTACAGTCTGTGTCTAATAACTTCAATAATCTAAATTATTTGGGAGCCTAATAATTTGCTTCAGGTGGCTCTTGCTTAGGGTGATATTTCTTTGTGTGTTTTGAGGATTTCATTTTTTATTCTTTTTCTTCTCCTTTCTTCCTTCTTCAACCACTCATCTTCTGGAAAAATAGTTGCAGTTCCCTGAGCTCTTACTTACAGACAGCTTTCTCCAGAGATGATTTACAATGATGGAAACAATGCTGGAAGTGATGACACATACCTGTAATCCCAGCACTCGAGAGGCTGAGGCAGGGGGACTGCTGGCTATAGTGAGTTCAAGGCCAACCTGAACTACACAACAAGACCCTTCCTTAAAAAAAGAAAAGGACTTGAACAGACATTCCTCACAAAAGATATCCATACAGTCCCTAAGGAGATACACATGAAAAGATGTTCAACATACTAATAACTAAGGAGATGCGAAGAAAATCTATAATGAAGCTGGGTGCAGTAGTGCATGTGCAAGTTCATGGGCCAGCCTGGGCAACTTAGTAAAAACCAGACTCAAAAAATACAGAAGGCTGGGGGTGCAGATCAGTGGTAGTGCCCCCCTGGGTATGAGCTCCAATAATGCAAAAGCCAAAACCCCATGGTGACATATCACCTCACATCCATTAGCAGGAAGGAGAAAATAACAAGCGTTGGTGAGGGCGTGGGGAAACTGGAGCTCTCGTGTCCGAGACCTTGTGCATTGTGTAGGCCTACACCTGCCTTGTGTAGATCTTCTGTACTGTGGCAATATAAAATAGCATAGCTTCTTTGAACAATAGCATAGAGATTCCTCAAAAAATAGAAAATAAAAAAATAGAAATACCATATGATCCAGAAATTCCACTTTCAAATAAATGCCCAAAAGAACTGAAGACAAGACTGGTCTCAAAGAGATAGCTATACACCCATGTTCACAGCACATAATCCGTAGGAGTCAGAAGGTGGAAGCCATTGAGTGCCCACTGACATTTGAATGGAGGAGCGAAACATACAACAGGGACAGAAGCTCTGACCTGTGCTGCAGCGCAGAATGAACCTTGGGGATGCTGTGCTATATGAGACAAGCCTGTCACAAAGGTACAAATACAGTGTAACTCCATTTCTGTGAGGTACCCAGGTGGTCCAATTCATGGGAAGTAGAATGGCACCCTGAAGGGTAGGCAGTGGTGTGAAGGAGAGAGGTAGGTTATTGTTTAATCCACACAGTTTCAGTTTTGCCAGAGAAAAGTAGTCCTAGGGAATGGATGGTGGTGATGGTTATATAACGTTATAGTAATTAACACCACCAAACTGTCCCCTTACAAATGGCAACAGTGGTGAACGTTACTTAAGTATATTTTTGCCTCAGTTAAAAAATAAGGGGTCCAGGGATTTAGTTCAGTGGCACAGGGCCTGCCTGGCAAGCGCAAGATTCTGAACTTGATTCCCAGTATATCCCACCCCCCCCAAAAAAAAAAAAAGAAAGAAAAAATAAATGTAAAAAGAAATATGTAACCAACATCTTTAGTTGTTTTTTTTTTTTAATTTTTATTTATTTATTTATTTATGTATTTTCTGTGTGTGTGGCCAGTTCAGCCCACCAGGGGGCGGGGCTGACTGGCATGTGGTGCTGGGGATTGAACCACGGTCCCTGTGCTTTGCTTAGCTTAGTTTGTTCTAAGTAGGTGCTTTAGACCACTGAGCCATCTCACCAGCCCTCTTTAGTTGTTTTTATTCAGAGTTAGTCCAAGTGCCAAGTCCCCCAAAGTCAGAGATAGAAAGGTGTTCATGCATGTTTAAAGTGGTCTCTCCCAGTCCCCTAATACAAGACCCTCTTGTGATTCAGGGCTACTGAGGTATAGGGAGTGAAGCTCTGTACCTCAGTATCTAGGACAAGGTCCCTGCTTCTCAGGAGCTTGGCAGAGCCTCATGAGAAGTATACACAGCTCAGGAAGCCCAGGCACAAAGTCACTTTGCCTTGCCCTGAGATAACACAGACGCTTTCCCTCTTGTTCCCCATGTAACCACCACAACATGAAGCTTTGGATGTTCTTCCTGTTCCAGATCTGGCCCTCCCCTCAAAATTCTCCATGAACAGCTTCTTATGCTCATTGTACAAGTCAACACACTGTAGTTGTTGGGTGACCCTTGCTCCCATCTGGAGAGGGGGCTCTGCCTGACCTCAGCTTTCTACATCTTGGCTCTTGTCTTTTTTCCTTCATCCTCCACCATCCTCCCTCTGCAGTTTCAAAAGCTGTACTGAATGTGGCACTGAGGGATCCGTCTTGGAGAGCCAACCCTGCTGCACAGTCCCAGTGCCAGAGAGCAATCTTGCAAGCCTCTGATTAGGAGCTCTGGGTCTCTTACCTCAGGCCCTGAGTGCAGTCTTGGGTTCTTTGGCAGATGCACAGCTGGAAAAATCCAATTCAGCAGCAAATTGATCATCTCTCCTCACCCAGGCCTCAGCACCGGCCCAGTAGTAACAATTGGTTGCACGTGCCTTTTGTTCTCGGCCAACATGTTGTTTGGAATCCAATATCTGACCGACATGCCATTAGCCAGAAAACACCTACATTTTCCAAATCTCACCAAAGTCTCCTCTAGGCTTTAGTGCCGAGCTGAAGGAGTCTTCGTGTAGTGGTGGTTCTAATAGAGCTAAAATGTAGCCTTCATGACAGGCTCATAGTTTGCAGTTTTAAATCCCCTCTTCTTTTAGTTAGGTAGGGATTTAACTTAGGTTATAGATAGCCCTTCTGGACCTTGTCAAGATCCCAGAAGAGTCTACATTTGTAGTCCCAGGGGAAAGTTATTGGAAATCAAGCAAATTAATTTCAATCCACTGCTTCCAGTGCAATCCACAGTGAGAATAAAGACAGTATGGCATCTCTGTAGTTATGGGGAGCCAATAGGGTCCAATTCCAGCTCTGATGATAGCTAACTGAAACAAAGGCCATGACCCAGGGCTGAAGCTGAGTTTTATTCATTCATGAAGAAGGAAGTAGCTTGGGGATGAGTGGCTGTGAGAGTGGCAAGAAGTAGGTGAGAATAATCTACATATCATAGCTTGGGGCAATGTCTAGTGTTTTGAGGTCAGTGCTTCAGTTTTGATGTGTAATTGTCATGCCCTGAGGCATCATGGCCTCTTTCTCAACACTCAGTCTCACCTGAGCATCACACTAGCTCACACTTCCTATTCTGGAGCTCTAGGGGCAGGTGGGTATCTTTGCTTCAAAGACTACAGATCAATACCTGGGCTCGACCCATTTACATTGCCTAAAGCCAACTGTGGGGATGAGGAAACATCCTAGCCAGCTCTGTACGTACTGATACACGGAAGCAAGGCCAAATGCTCTTCTTTCAAGGAGAGCCTTCCAAGTAGACCTTCACATGGACATCCCTAGTTACTGCAGAAATGACCCCCAGAGAGCCCTGAGTCCCACTGTTCCCAAACTGATCCCAGTGCAGCTGCTTGGGACACAGCAGATGCTGAAATGACATGGCCCCATTCTGTACAAGCCTCCCAGCTCTGGCGATATTTATGGCTAGAAATGACAAATGGTTTATCATTATTTTTACTATAATAAAACTGACCTTAGCCACACCTCTGTTCTAAATACACCCCATGGAGGACACATCTGCCTTAGCCTGCTAGGGGTTGTCATAACACAGCATCACAGGCCAGGTGGCATGAACAGCAGAGTTATTTTCTCACACTGTGGAGGCTGAGTTGGAAATCAAGGTACAGGCAGCGCTGGCTTCCTCGAGGCTTCTCTTTCTGGCTTGCCATTGGCTGGTTTTTCTCCTGAGCTTTCACACAGTGTTTGCTCTGAACATCTCTGTCCATATTTTCTCCTCATCTAGGGATAACCAGTCACACGGGGTTAGGATGTCCTTCCCTTTACACCCCTATAATCTTATTTTAACTTAATCATCTCTTTAAATCCTCTATCTCTGAACAGAGTCACAAATGGATGGAGGGCACTCAGCAGCATCTAAAATGATAGACTGAAATATATCTTATCTCATCATAAAGATTGCTGTTGCCTGTATCAGTCTGCAAGAATCTGTGGGCCTTTGTTTGTTTGTTTATTTAACTAGGAATCAAACTCAGGACCTTGTACTTGCCAGGGAGTTGTTGTAGTGCTGAGGATCAGACCTAAGGCCTTGCACATGCCAGACATGTCCTCTACCACTGTGCTACACTCATAGTAATCTTAACACTTACAAAAAGAGCCACCCAGCCCTTTTTAATTTAAATTTATTTAATTGTATGTATTTAGTACAGGGTCTACAAGGTCTCATTACACAGAACAGACTCCTAGTGATCCTCCTGTTTTCAGCCTCCCAAGCGCTGGGATTATAGGCACATGCCACCAGGCCCAGTCTCAATCTCTGTCTCAGCCTGCCCTAGGGCAGGGCCGGCAGGACTCAGGAGATATCGAACCCAGTCCCTGCATCTGCCTAAGCAGCCGCTTTAGTCAGCAGAGCTATCTGGCCGGCGCTTTAATTTTATTTGGAGGTCCCCTAAATTGACCAGATTTTCCTTAAGGTCCTACTTCAGAATCCCCATGAGCTGGGGTTAGAGGCCTGCACCACTACACCCACCAAATCTTTGTTTTAAAGGGGTTTTTATTTTTACATCTTTGTTGGGTAATTAGAAAACTAGGTTGGAGGCCAAACTGTGAACATAATGAACATGATTGACTTTGAGCAAGACATGAAAGTCTGGAGTCTATCTCTGCGCTAGGGAAATGGGTTTTAACCTTGTCTCGTAGTCTTCACTTCTGGAACTGACGGGCTGCACTGCCTGCCCATTTACCACCCTGGAGATCATTGATTGCAAGATGGATTCATGGTCGCTGGGACGACTTGGGAAGGCTCTGCAGCTCGGTGGCTTGCATTCCCTCGCCCTTGATTACTGCAGGTAAGGCTGGAGTGCGGAGTTCCAGTGGGCGGGGCTCTTACGTTGTCCGCTGTGGAGGCCACAGCGGGCGAGGCCAATGTCCAGGTTCACTGAGCCTGTTGAGGCTGAACGGGCGCCCTCTTGGCGCTCTAGAGTCAGCGCTCCTGGGTTCTCGGAACGACTCATCGGTTCTTTCAACGCATATTTGTTAAAGGCTGGTTTATACAAGATACTGCGTTCACAGCTAATGGCCAGGCGGCTGTCCCAGGGAGTCTTTGGTGCAGCAGAGGAAAAGAGACAAGTTAGACATCATGCAAAGTAGACAGAACAAATATCATAAAAGATGTCCATGTAGGTGTTCTGGGGTGCTTCATTTAAAAGCCCAGCTCCCTGGGTGGTGGGCTGGTCCTCACTGGCAACGAGGTGGGGGCAAGCACCAGCACTAGGGAGGAGCAGAGTGAGTCCTTCAGGGAGTTGAGATACTAAGCGTATCAGGGGAGGGACGGGGGATGAGAATATTAATGATACCAATGAACAGGTAAGTTTACTGTGTGCTGAGTGTGCTCCTTGGATGAGCTCATGTAGTTTCCTGACAACCTTGTTGTTTTCTTTTCCTGGTACTGGGAACTGAACTCACCGACCTTGCACTTGCCAGGCAGGTGCTGTGCCTCTGAGCTACATCCCCAGCTATGCTACTTCTGTTGTAGCAGAAAAAGCAATATCAATCCAAATGGAAGACTCTTTGGCCTGAGGAGTTAGAAGGCAACTTTTATTATGCTAGCACTCTGGGGAACTTGAAGGTTCAAATCACCAGCCGAGTCAGGTTTGAGTTCAGTTTAAATATGGTGTATGAGTGGGAGGTGCAAAGCTAATAGCAGGTTATTACATGATTGGCTACATGAAATAGAAGAATTATGTCATATATCGTCAGGCAGGTTTGTACAGGAACATTCGCAAGGGAGGGGGTATGAGAGGAGTAGGTAGAATTGAAAGTGTCCTTGACAGCCCAATCTTCCCCCAAACATGATGGCCTTGAAGCCCTTAAAGCAAGCTGTAATCACTGCATATGTTTAAAACTCAAGACAGAGCCGGCCAGGTAGCTCAGAGGACTAAAGCGCCTGCTTAGGCAGATGCAGGGTTCGATCCCCCGTGTACCGTGCAGGCTCCACCCCTGGGACGCACTGAGATGTCGACTGAGACTGGGCATGGCGGCATGCGCCTGTAATCCTAGCACTTGGGAGGCTGAAAAGAGGAGGATCAGTATGAGTCCGATCTACATAGTGAGACCCTATAGATCCCGTACTAAAATGCATAAAAAAAAAAAAAAAAGAAAGAAAGAAAACCCACAAGCCAAACCCAATCAGGTTGACTCACACATTGTTAAGGGAGCCCATCTAGGCCTAGACAATGAAGTCTGGCTACGCAACAGGCAGCATGAGCATTGTCACTGGCTATGAACTGATCTCTAACTTTGTTATCATAAGCATACAAGTCTGTTCTATGAATGTGCCCTACCACTGCCCCTAGACCACTGATGAGAAAGGACTTGTTCGAGGCCACTCAGATCCTTGATGTGAATCCAGGTTGGCTGCGTCAGCCCAACTCTGATCCATGACACCAGATTTCCTGGAGGCTCTAATTTACCACCCATAAATAATTTCAGACTGGTGCTAAGAAGTAAAAGCTGGGCATGGTGCCATGTGCCTGTAAGCCCAGCACTTGGGGGGCTGGAGCAAGGGGACCACTGTGAATCCAAGGCCAGCGTGGGCTACATAGTGAGCTCAAGGTCAGCCTGAACGATAGTGAGACCCTGTCTTAAAAACAAAAAATGAGTAAATCATAAATCTTTCTGGTCTAAAATGAGACAATTGCAGGCCCTCAGTGATTACCTTTAATGAGTTAATACATTTTAAGTTATTTCTGTTAACATCACTCACTTCATCTTAAAGTTCAACCCTCAACATTCCAGATTGCCTGAAAGCGTCACCTTCCCTCTGCAACCTCAGTTTTCTGTTCCCTAAAATTGATAACATCCTGTCTTACTCCCTCAATATGGGAGGCATGTGAGCTCTCTCCTCACACACTAAAGTCTGTGCCTCCAATGGAGGCAGCCCAGGATCAGGAGAAGAGCTCTGAAGAAACTTTTATGAACCTGGCTGGACATAACTTAAACCCTCGCTGTCCCCAGAGTTGCTGCTGGGGTCTCCTCCTGTCCTGTCAGCTGGGCAGTCTCTCTGAGGAGTTTAGAGCTACCTCAGGGTTTAGAGCTCTCTCTAGCTGCTCCCTTGAGCAGGCCCTTCTAATTGTCCTCTGTTTCCTTTGACAGGATCAGACTTTTGGCCTCCATCCCTCTAGACCCACGTTGATAGCAGCCATCTTGGCCCTGGAAAACCACACAGAGAGGCTTTAAAATTAGTAATGTGCTCAGTGACATAAATTTTAATAGTTTTTTAAATTTGTTTCACTCCTTTCTTTTTAGATTTGGAAATGAAGAAATGGAGTACATCTTCTCAGGCCTGGCGAACAATAAGAAGCTTCAAGGCCTCAGTCTGCGGTACTGTGGGCTGGGGCCAGGCAGCGGGCCCAGGCTGGGCTTCGTCATCAGCCAGAGTGCCATCTGGTGAGATGTCCCCACTGTTGCCTTAAGTTACACAATTATTTGATAGTTATTTTCATTTGTTTTTTCTTAACCAGAAGGAAAAGATCCTGTAAAGTTTGTGAATCGAGGTTGTCAGGATGAATTCATGTGTTTAACCACCCGAAGATGTTACTAGGTCTACTTTCTCTGATGTGGCCTATTTTTATTTACTATGCTTGTTTATCAATTGATTGTTTCATGGTTATGGATATTATTTTATCAGAAAAAGACCTCGAATCCTAATTTGAGAATGTGGAACTGACATCCCATGAATGACGCATCTCACCCTCTTCCCCAGCGAGCTGTACCTTGATGGCAACGATTTGCAGTGCTCTGGTGCCCTGGCTCTGCTCAGGCCCTTGGTGGAGTTCACAGAGATGCAGGGGAAAGACCCACCAGCCCCGGGGGTGGCTCCCAACGCCGGAAGTCCCCCTCAGCTGCTGCACAGTAGGTACAGGGCAACTGAGCCTAGGGCCTAGTTTCCTTTTGGAACCACCTAGGAAGAGAGAGCTGCTTTGTCATTCCAAGTGGCTGTCGGCCAGAGCAGGGTGCATCCTGTAATCCCAGCAGAGAGAATTTGAGTCTCAGCTGGGCAACTTAGTGAGAGCCTGTCTCAGAATTTAAAATAACTAGAAAGAGGACCAGGAACGTAGCTCGGTGGTAGAGCAGCCCTTGGCTTTCTCCCAGTGACCTCCCCCAGCATGAGCTTCTTAGAGTCAGTGGAGCGTCTTCTTCCTGGGTAAGTGTGGGAGACAGGATAATGGCCTCCAAAGATGTCTTTGTTCTAATCTTGAGAACCTGTAACTTATGTCACACGGCAAAAGTGATTTTGCAGATGCGATTATATTCAAATTTTTAAAATAAAAAGATGATCTTAAATTAGCTCTGCAAATCCAGTATAATCACAAGAATCTTACCTATCTATCTATCCATCTACCATATATAGAGCCTTCACTCTGAATTATAACCCAACCCTCTTTCTCTCTTTCTTTTTCCCCTTTTTTTCTTCTTTTTTAAATTTTAATTTTGAGAGAGGGTCTTGCTAAATTGCGCAGGCTGGGCTTACACTTGGAATCCTCTTGCCTCATCCTTCCAGAGTACTGGAAACACAGGTACTGTGTGCCACCATTTCCAGTCCAAGACTCTGTAAGAGGTGGGCCGGAAGGTCAGGGCACAGAGGAGACACTGGTGCTGGAGAAAGAGACTCCCAGCCTGCTAGGTGTCTGGTAGGAATTTGCGTTCTCTGAAATCGAAGGATGAATTTAGGAACAATGGAGGTTAAATGTAGAATATATTTATTGGGGAAAAAAAAAACCTCTCCAAGAGAGATACAGAAAGGGTCCCGAATGGATTGCAGATGTGAGACAAGTCCAAGGTAGTCAAAATGGGAAATCACAAGGTGGGGATGAGGTGGGACAAAACTATGGTCGACCAATAACATCACGTGTATAATTGCTCAGGTAAAATTGATTATGTCAGGATCAAATAGGAAAACAAGTCATATAGGGGGCATGTGTGGAGTTCTGTTAGTGGCTCTTCCTGGCTTCCTCGGGGTCATAGATACCAATTTGGAATGCCAATCCCTGATGTTTCTCCTTAGGGATGTGTGTGGGTGCATTTGTTTCAGCTTTGGTCTTGAGGCCCAGCTCACAGTGGAAGGGCCTGCTCTCCCACATTCGCAGGGCATCTTGTCTTTTGAGGAACTAGCCCTGTCTCACTGCCTATGATAGTTTATCTTATTTAGTTGCCTAGCACAATGTGACAGTGGGAGTGGAGGCTGGAGTGGTGTAAGGAAGGAGCCAGGGAATGTAGGCGGCCTCCAGAAGCCGGAAAAGGCACAGACACTACTCCCCACCCCCACCCCCAGCCTCCCGAAGGAAGGTAGTTCTGTGGAGACCTTGACTTTTGCCCTTAAGTCCCACTCAGACTTCCAGCCTCCAGCACTGTAAACCACTCTGTTTGTGGCCGTTTGTCATAGCAGCAATAGGAGCTCAGTCGAGGTCCAAGGTGGACTTTTGCCACCTTACCATGTGGATCCTGTCAGATCCTAGAACTCTCCTGAGCCCTGTCCTTGCCTGACCCTGCTCTTGGAATGAAGGCACGCGAGCCCTTCCCTAGGAGTGTGTTGGAGGGACACAGATGGCTTCAGAGGAACCTTGCTTTTCATAGGGACACTGTTCCTGGGATTAAAATATCCTTGGTCACAATCATTTTCATTCTCCTTGGCAGAAAAAGGCACAGCTCTTTCCCGTTCAGCATCTTAGCAGGATATCTGGCTATGAGGTACGAAAGGAAGGAGGCCATTTGTTAGTACGAACCTGTGGAGGACCACTGAGCAGCTGTCCTTGAAAGAAGAGCGACTGTCTCCATTTTGACTGAGCCTGACCCTATTTCCTCGTACTGTTATATACAGAGCTGGCTAGGACTTCTGTTTATCCTTCATTTGGCCTTAAGCAATGTCTATTGGTCTAGCTGAGGTGCTGGTGATAATCCTTGAAGGTGGCGGGCGTGTTTCCCTGGTAACCTACACCTGCTGCTCCTTAATGTGAGCCAGACAGGATGGTAGAGCTAAAGCTCATGCCGGTAGCAGGGGTGGAGCCTCAAGATAGAGGCCATGACTTCCTGGGGCTTGAAAGGCTACATCAGAGCTGAAGCACCAGACTTCCCAAAACATTAGATACTATATAATGCAGATTACTCTCTCTCTGCATGTGCTCTCTGCACATCACAGGGGTAAATGTAGGCCACCCACCTAGCTCAGCTCACAGTAGTCACCTGCTTCCCACAATTCTCAGTCAATCCTCCTCAAGCCACTCCTCCATTGAATAAAACCAGGTGAGGCTGGGTCACTCTCTTGGTTCCAGAAAGCCATCTTCGTGGCTGGACTTAGAGCCCCTTGACTCCCCGATGATTGAAAATATAATTTATTGTGATTTTTTTTTTTTTTTTTTGTGGAGCCAGGGCTTGAACTCAGGGCCTTGAGCTTGCCAGGGAAGCGTTTATTCAACTGAGCCATCTCCCCAGCCCCCTTGAAAATATAATTTAGTATCTTTATTTTTGCTGTGGGTTGCATTGAAAGTGGTAGATTGGAATCAACTTGATGAGATTCCAATGTAACTTTGGGATTACAAATATTGGCTTCTTGGATGGAGATGAGGACCTAGAAATGTCTCCTACACGAACCCATGCAATCGGCCAGACCAGGCATTCTGGCGCAAGTAGAAGATTTATTGGGGGCAACAAGCAGGCTGGCTGTCTAGTGGACCAAGACAGCAGCAAATAAAGACAGGACAGGAGACTTTATAGGCTCTTTTAGGGAGGGTGATCACAGGCTAGAACAGCTGAGGGAGAGCTAATCTTGGCAGACTACCTGGTCTGTGGGGGACCTTTAATGCTAAAGGAGAGTTTCGTGGTGGCTTGCCCAGGTCAGTCAGGTGGGCCTGCTCTGTGGTTTTGGGTTTGGCTCTGCATGGAGCCAAAGGGGAGAGTGGTTGGGGGCAGGGTGTCTGGGAAACCAAGAGGGAGAGTGCTTGGGGCAAGGTGCCTGGGAAACTTTGAATCCTGGCCTATCACCATTCAAAATAGTATTGCAAATGTTACAAAAGTGAATGACTCTTTAACTGAGTGATGAGCCATTATTACATATCAGGTGGTTTCCAATTTTTGCTTTAAACAAAACTGAAGGAGGACCTACTCAAATTATTGGCTGACAGGTTATTGAAAATTCTCTTTCCCTCTCTTATCTCTCTTCTCTCTTCTCTCTCTTTTCTTCTCTCTCTCTATCT